TGATCAAGATGCATTTTATTCTCCATTATCACCCGTTTTACTTAACATCATTGGTTTATTATCAGTTAGTGAACGTGAATTTGATGATTTGATATCGTCAACAGGTGACATGTTATTTCAACAATTCTATAAAGAAAATTTATTTGATAAATCTCAGAAAAAATTGAAAATTGCATCATTACTCTACGATCTTTTGTTTATTCGTAAATCAAGAAATTTTTTAACACCAAAACATTTGTATTTATCTGATGCCATTATGAAATCAACAGATTGTGCTTATTTATTAAGAATTGAGAATTTACTTGGACATACAATTAGTTTTCGTACATATCAAAAATTAACAAAACAAGATAAAATAAAATCAACGACAATGTTCGATGATAGTGATAGTGATGATCAAGACGAAGAGAAAAGTGATGAAACAGATAACATTGTTAGCGAAATAGTTCAAGGATTAAAGTGAGTTTAATTTTTGATTTTCATCTTACCAACTACTATTTATTTCACAACAGAATGACCGTAAACGTTTTTTGAATATCTCGAGAACGAAAAAAGATACAATGTGGGAATTTTCAGCATTTTGTCTAAAACTAATCCAAACTATTTCAGACTATGAAGCTAAACTCTATTTTATCTACAGGGTTGGCAAAAATGTTTTTCTAGGGCGGTAGAGCTCAAACTACAAACGATATAAAAATGAATTATATACCAAATTAATGCTTATCTAAAATGGGATTGATGAGTATAATTGATATTCCGTATGACGATTATTGATTCTAGAATTATGGAAGTTTCTATCGCGTGCGTCATAATGATTAAATTCGGGGTGTAGTGATGCTTTCAGTAAAAGTCCCATAATTTCATCAAAACAAAAGCTTTTTCGATCGGGCATATTTTTTTTGATCAGCAATGATTGCTTTTCTATTGCTAACTGCAAAATCAAAACTTTGATCATATTTTCCATTTCTTCCTTAGGCACATTGTTGACAATGTGGAGGAATTTTTGAAACTTCGTTCTCCAGCACACCAATTGCTCTAAAATTCTTTTTTTACAGACCATGAGAAAGAGCATATTCAAAAATACAAAACGAACTGAGTGTTCTCACTTTTGCTACACTTTTTACGGAAATTATGGCAGAAGAAAAAAGTTCAAGTCGAAAAAAATATCAAATATACAAAAGTTTTCAGTTTTTCCGCCTTTCGTATAATTTACGTAGTTTTCTTGATTGAAGTTCTAAAACTAAAGTTTAGGTATAGTTTTCTAGAGTATTTCATGACGCATCTTTTTAAAAAAACACTAACCGTGAGTTCCTAAAAGAACACGAGAAAAATAGAAAATACTGAGAGGCTCATTCATTATGACGCACGCGATAGAAACTTCCATAATTCTACAGAAATTTTTTATTTTAAAAAAGCTTTTCTAGATATTTGTTGCTATAAAAGAACATATTTTCACAAATTAAGTATAGAATTAGGTTGAATAGATAAAATAGTGTTTATATAAATATTCCCAAGTAGTTTGAGTCGATTTTGACTAAGTTATGAATTGTTTTAGTTTTACATGAAAAAATGGCTATTTGCAGGTTTTAAACACGATGTTGTTTTTTCTGAAAACAAACATTGCCATGAGATTCAACATGGCCGATAAATTATGCTTTTATATATGTCTGAGATTACCAAATGTAACCGTATCAAATTAAGGGCATCTATGGAAAATGCTTACCAGCCACGATACCGTACGAGATATAGAGGTCGACTTTGCACAGAATTGTAGAGGACACTTAGAACTATCTAGCCATTATGTTATAATTGAAAATCGATCTCATCTCATTTTCACGAGATAGCAAGCATATCTTTTTCCTACCGTCAGAGGTGAACCATCTGACAGAGAAATTTTTAACATCGAATACATAAGAAGATAGAGTAGAGTTCCCTCTATAAAACGGTGGATACTCGAATTTTCTATGTCTTCTCATTCTCTCAATATTCAAGAAACATTCCCGATCACTTCACTTTATTGTGAAAAAATTAATAGCTACCTTTCAGATGTGAGTAGACTGGTTTTTTAGTCATGAATAATACATTATTCAATTTGTAGATATGTTGAATTACTTTATACTTTATTTGATGAGAAGAATGGTGACGCTTCTTAGAAATGAACGGGAAAGGAATCTGCAGAAGAAAATAATATTTTTTGAACGTGAAATTTTTCTAAAATGTGACGATTCAGAGCCTTCGCGGATCAAAAATGACTCTGTCTGGTTTGTTATAAAACTTGACGTTTTGTTAGTAGGAAAGGTAAAGAATACGATCGCTGAAACTTTTCTTTGCGCAGCAGAAAAAACATTTGAAAAAACGAGGATCGAAAAATGAATCCTCCGTTCATATTTGATATTTCAAAGTGATTTTGTTTTCGCACCGTTTCTCAAACAGTTCGTATTCATTTTTCACTTATGTCTGTTTTTACTAGTGACAATACAAGTCAACGGTTAGAACACCGAGAATCAACAACATCGATGCCAAAACGTTGCGAACGTAAAGCAAAATCAAAATCTCGAGAAAATCTAAAAAGACTGTTGTCATCAATTGCATCAGAGGAGGAGGAAGAAAAAAAAACAAGAACATCAAAGACAAAAAAATTAAAATCATCAGCACTGGTAAATGTTGAGAACGATCAACAAGACACAGTAATGTACGATTTAGAAAAAGAATCAATGATTATAGTCAAAGACGACGATAACAACGAGTATCAACTACAAAACGAGGGTAATAAATGAGTTTCAAAACCGAAACTGAGCGTTATCATAATTTTTTTTCGTATTTAGATTTATCACTATCTTTAAGCCAATTACCTAGCATAAATGCTGAAACCACTTCGTTGAACCGTCGTCCAATACTTGAAGCTCGTTTATTAAAAACTCGTCAATTACAACCGGAGAAAAGTATGTAACAACGTTCATTTGATTTCGGTTGTTCGCCACCGTTTAATTATATTAAAAATTTAGAAACAATTGCACCGTTAAGTACAGCTTATTTGAATCAATTATGGACATATTACAAAACGGATGAAGACAATATTGATTTCAATGATTTAATCTCACATGAATATGAAACTCCTCCACCATCACTACAAATTCAAGACACATCGACATATCGGGCACTTCAAACACAATTTCGATTAACATCTGTATATTTTCAACAAATTGATCAAAATTCAAAACTTCCAGGTAAACACAAATCAAACGATATTAAATAGAAAAAATATCAACTTTTTATACGTAAACAGTTTCGGGTACTTCCACACAGCTCCGCCCATTTATATACAACTTTTATCCGTCAAAATCGCACTATGCCTTATAGAGCTCTTCGAGTTGGGTGTAAATCCACTTTTTTGTATGTAAAAAGTGATCAGAAAAGTCTATTTTTTACCATCAGAGGGCTGTACAAGTAACTCAAAGTTTAATCAAATATAAATTTATGTGATCAAACGAAAGCGGTTTCCAAGCTTGTTCGCATGACGCAAGACGCTAGTCTCTAGCACTTTTCCTTACTTCACGGTAGGCTTAGCCGTGATACCTACTTTTCGAGAAACCTACCCCCACCCCCTTGCTGACCTACACCCTCAAAAACTACGCGGTAACTTTTTGAGATATTGTTACCCTACACACTACTCGATTAGTACTACAACAACCCCCAGGTCTTCACTTTATATAAATGACTTTTTCTAGGGGTTGTCTACCAAAATCCTATCATCCAGCAGCCATCAGAGATAGGCGAAAACACTGAACTATGGGTAAACGGACATGATAAAGATGAATCCGAGATCAGCTTAGGTATAATGGTTATGAGGAATCCAGGATTTTGGTCGGATTTCTAGAAAATCTTCACAAAAAAGTCATTTATATAAAGCCAAGATCCCGGGGACTTTTATAGTACTAGTTGAGTAGTGCGTGGGGTAACAATATCTTAAAAAGTTAACGTGTTATACACTTTATAAAATGAAGATTTTTTCCAAAGTAGGTAAGGCTTCCGCTCAACATTTTTTTCGAAACGTCAAAGATGAAAACCTAATTTGTAGATGATAATATACAACCTTCTACGTTCTATCCACCTAGGTCAAAGATTCACGACCGTATACTATAGTATCTCGTCGTATGTTGACGTAAACCCGGTCAACGTATTACGTCCATCGTGAACGACATCGCTTATGTTGAAATACGACGAAATACGACGGTCATAACAGCTGACGTAATACGTTGGCCGGGTTTACGTCAAAATACGATGAAATACTATAGTATACGACCGTATAGAATGGTCGTAATCATGGACCTGGGCACTAGTATCGTCAGAAAAATTTTAACATCAATAGTTAAAATAAAAATCAGGCTTTCCTAGACCCTCTGAAGATAAAAAATAGACTTTTCTTACCACTTTTTCGACATGTTCCACATAATATTTGAGAGAAAAAAAGATGGATTTACACACAACTCGAAGAGCTCTACAAGACAGGCATAGTGATGTGCCTTTCTTAATTTAATTTTCTGTTGTGATTGTTACTTGTATGCATGTCTTTAGATCGTCCTTTTTCATTTCACCAGTGTCTTCAGCAAGATTCTAATTCTAATTTCAAGTTATTAAATTCACGATTTACCACATCTTATTCGTCACATAATCCGTATTATCTACAACCGTCTAATATTGTACCCGCATCTTGTCTAATTATTGTTGATATGAGGACAATTTTATTAAAACATCGTCCAAAATCGTTTATGCAACTTACGTCACCGTCCTATTATCAACAACTTTATCGACAAAGAATTTTACCATATTTTAATAATGGATACAGACAAATACGTTTGATATTTGATCCCTTTCCATTCGATAAAATAAAACATGTAACTCCACAATCACAAATAGGTAAGTAAAGATATCATTCAGATCTATAGTTACGGGAATTGTAACCGTCTGCAGAGTGTGGAAATACGGTGCTTTGCGCCGTAAGTAAACTTGAATCCATGTATTCGTATTACGCCGTATTTCTATCGTGTCGTTCATGCAGCATGAACGACACGATTTAACTTTTCTCTTTTTATAGTAGATTAGATATGGCTACCATTGGTGGCCATATCTAATCTACTATAAAAAGAGAAAAGTTAAAAAAGATTTGTAGTACGTGTACGGCTTCGAAGCGTGGTAGTCAGCGACTTGTGTTAATCCATCTATAGATATTTATACTTAAGAGGGCATTAGATTCTGATCAGAGTTGTTCAGTGTCTCTATAAGGACGATAGTTCCACATTTTGACATTTGTCCCCAGCAAAAATCGGTCCCATCGGATGTCGTCTTTTCCAAGAATTTTTTCTCCTTACTATTTTCAATATATTTTTCACTTTTTTAATTACGCTTTCGTTTCAGTTTTGTTAGTGATACTGTATGATAAGTAATATATTTTGTCTTGTCTCCTTGCGTAGGAAAAAAGTCTTCATTTTCCGTAAATTTGTCCCTCTTTATTTTTTCTTTAGTTGGCATTTCTGATTCTGATAAACAACACCACTATTGTCTAACAGAAAGATGAAATTATAACATTTTTGAGAAGCTCATATCTCTGTAACGACACAGCGAGACAATATTCAATCTTTAAGCTTATCGGCTCAAAGAAGATGAAAAGGATATGCTATTCCTGTAAATCTATATCTAAATATGTAATGTTCAAGTACTTTCGTATTATAAACATTTTTTAAGACGGGTTACAATGTCAGTTTTGACCGTGTATAACTAGCATAAACAAAAACGAGATACGCCAGTAGGTGAAAAATAGCCACGATGAGATAACGATGAGTTAGCATTTATGACTGTAGAAAACACTCACGGGATCCAACGGATGTAATTGACAGTAAATCTGTTTACAACCATGTCAAAATCGCTCGGATAGTAGAAGAAAAAAAAATGTGTATGTTGTTGTTTTGTTTTTGTTTATTTTAGTTGAACCAAAGAACTTACCAGAGTATCCATACGCTCATTTTCAAAATGTTTCAATAAACGATTGGTATTTATATTTAAAATCTATATATGGTACACGTCATATGTTTTTATGTCGAGATTATTTAATATCACATTTTAAAGAAATATTTATCTATGTTGATGATCTAACATTAACATTATCTCTCATTTTGGATGGACCAGATGAAAAAATATTTCGTCTCGATAAACATATTTGTTTACAAGTTGAAGAAGGACAAGTGAAATTTGATACAAGATTATCCGATTTAAAATTAATTCAACATTCACAAATTCGATTTCGTCATGTACAAGATGATAAACAACAACAAAATGTAAGTTAAAGAAAAATATTAACTACAATATAAATTTATCAATTATTATTCTTTTAAAATTCTTTTTCATCACATAAGAGTTTTAAATTATTTTGTTCTAACGAACGTTCTATTTTCTTTATTGATTTAGATATCGTCATTTGATTCTGATACTATTTCAACATGTATTATTGAATCGAACGATTTAGATGTTTTATTATTTTCTATTATTCATAGTTCTCAACTCTATAACGAATTTCATCGTCATTTATATTTAAAATTTGATAATTTTATAATTAATGAAGATAAAAAAAGTCAAAAACAAATAACATATGAATTAGATTGCCTTAATTTTAATTTATTATTATGTCATCAATATAAATTAAAAAATTTAAAAATTCTTCTTCTTTTACATGCATTCAATGGTGGTGGACAAGAGATGCAATCAATATTTAAACAATACTCACGAGAAAAAATATTTGATCTATATTTCACATCATCAAATATATTTGATGATTGTTTTACATCAGGTATGAAATTATAAATTTAACCCTTTCTTGCCCCATGGCTCCTATACGGACCATTTTTATAAAAATTTAATTCTCTTGAACTATGAGACTTTTGGAAACAGATTTTATATCAACTTAAAGTCTATCTATTGTGGACTTGAAATCAACAATCTGGATCTCATATTTATTATAAAAATAATTTTTCACGATAATTTAAAATTTAAAAAATTCAACTTTTTTTAAAGTGAATGTAGCTCAGCTCAGCCAAGAGATGGAGACTCGGTTCAAACGTGGTTGGATAGAGAATTGAAAACTGAACAAACGTGGGATTTGACAATGTCTCCATATTATATGAGTTTGGTTGCCAGGGATTTTTTCTAAATTAGCGGGAAAAGTCAGAATTCTGCTCGTATTTCTCAATTTTCTCCAACAGAACTCAACTTCTATGTAATAAAAATATCATATTCAAAATCAGGATCAAAAATCGAATCGACTGGTATGTATTTCGAAAGTTTCACTAGATTTTAATTTTTTTGGTGAAAACCTCGATGATTTTTCAACGTGAAACATTGAAAAAATTTAAAGTACTCGAATAGGATAGAGATACATATCCATCGATTCGATTTTTGATCCTGATTCTGAATATGATATTTTTATTCGTCAAAACCGTCAGATTTAGTCAAAGGCAAGAAAGGGTTAAATAGTATCGAAAAAAACATTTTTTTTTGTTCTTCTCTGTTATAGATATGTGTCCATATTTACAAATTGTTCCCGAACGTACTTTAGAATTGTTTTTATTGAAATTATACGATTGTTCAACAAATAAATCTGAAACATTGAATTTATCACGTCAAACATTTGCACAACATTCATTGAAATTTCAACCACATACTCCAGTATTACAACATATGCCACCAACAAATGATACATTTAAACAAATATGTTTAAGAACACAATATTTAATTAATATATGGAATCGAGTATTTCTTCGTAAACAAATGTATGGTATAAAATTAGATCCAAAAGATTATGGCTATTTGAAATGTGATGATAATAATTATAAATTGAAATGGAGTAATAAAACAGTCTATCCAAATATTGAACATTTTCCATCACAAATGAATTGTCAAAATTGTCAACAATTAAAATGTTTACAATGTACAATTCATAAACATCAAAAATAACGAAAAAATATAATATTTGATATTGTAGATTAGAGATGCTAATGTGAGATATCATTAGCGAGATCAATGGAGAATTTTTTTCTTTTTGTTTCTAAAGAAAAAATAAGTTGATCATTGTTTTATTTGAGTGATCGTTTGTTATTGTTTTTTTTTGTATTCTCACTTATGTTATCATTCTCTCTTTGTCTAGAAAATGTTTATGTTTTTATTTCGTATGTGAACTATTTCGATAGCGAATAGTGTCTACATGAAAGTGATATATATATGAGAATCTGAAACATATTTGCATTATTCTCTTTTTAACTTCCTTGTTATTCATTCCGGTGTGTAAGTTAGTTAATTTCCATTAGAGATTACAAGAAAACAAAGTTTTTTTTTTTGTTGTTATTGCAAAAGTCAGATTTGCCATATTAATCGTACATACCGTTGTAGGTAAACGTTTGTAGAAATTTTCATACTTTTGTTTATTTGTTTTTTTTTTGCTTATAATGATAAGTAAGAAGAAGTAAAAATCGTTATTTTTCATTCTATTTTCGTTGACTTCAATTATGTATATATATTCTTTCATTTTCGTTGTTAATTTTTTTTATCAAAATATTAACTTTTTATTATAATATAAATACAGAATAACATAAGCTACATAAAAAAGATGTTTATTATTTCTTAATCGATAAACATCTTTTGATAGAAGATCATTTTGAAATCTTCATAATATTTCATGTGTAAAAAGACTCCCGGATGGACTTTTTACTAACAAGTCCTGATTAAGCCTCTCGCCCATGTCAGGAATAGGACTGTGACAGTTACTAGTTACCGTTACCATCGTTACTCGGTAACTATAACTGCTTACCAGTTGACGTTCTTGGTAACGGTAACGGGTAAGCAGTTACCGTACAAGTAACGATAACAACCAGTTACAAGTAACGGTAACTGCTCAGTATATCTTTCAACAGTCAAATCTCTAAATATCTAGGTATCCAGGGTGAGGGTGAGGCTACGAACTTTCACCTTTACCCTGGATACCTAGATATTTAGAGATTTAACTATTGAAAGATATACTGAACAGTTACCGTTACTCGTACGGTAACTGCTTACCCGTTACCGTTACCAAGAACGTCAACTGTTCAGCAGTTACAGTTACTGTAACGCTAGTGGTAATTGTCACAGCCTAGTCAGGAATGCCCATTTTCTTCAGATGTATCGCTATTGAGATTAACATATGATTGGACAGCCCACAGTGTCGTCTTTTGAATAATCTACTTTTGGTAGTTCAAAAGTGGCCTTTTGACGGTTTGCAAGTAACTTTTCCAACAGTCCTAAACAAATTCAGGTTTTCCATAATCCCTTTTACTGTTGAATCTGAGATCCAGTAAACATCATGAGGCTCACATCTTGCAAAGTAAACATTTGCGATCAAAATGAGCCGTTCCGCGCCTGCGCGAGATGCTTGAATCAATAGCTACAACTGTTCCTAAAATTCGTCGCCATAGACTACAGCCATCATATCTCAAATCAATTTTTTACTTTACACGA